ACCAACCACGGCACGCGCGTCCTCTTGAACACCGTCTCTATGGTTATGCCCATCCTGATGCAGTTCTTCTTTATCATGGCCTTGAACGGCGTTATGGGTGCTGCCGGGGTACTAGAGAAGCAGTCTAAGCGCGACGTTTATGTCTTCCGGCTCTGTGTGAGCAAGCTACATACATTCATATGCTCGCTGTGTATGGCGGGGTATATCTGGGCATTCCGTGAGGACTGGGGTGTAACGGCCGGGCAGTTCTTCGAGACCTGGATGTGCCTCTGGTTCTATATGGAGATTAACTACCTCGTCCTTGATGCAGTCGTTGGCACGATTATACCCATGAGTTTCTTCTCCTACTTCATGCTGACTTGGGTTATACTCAATATCGGAAGCACTCTGTACCCTTTCGAGCTCTCTCCAGGCTTCTACCGCTGGGGGTGGGCTTTGCCTGCCCACAACATCTGGCTCGTGCTCGTCGACATTTGGTCCAACGGCTGCCGGCAGCAACTCGATGTGACCATGCCTATCCTCTTCGCTTGGTGGTTCGTTGGACACTTTGTCAGCGCCTGGTCAGTGCAGAAGAGGTGCTTGATGGCCGAGGCCGAGGCACAGCACGAGAAACTCAACGACGACAAGCATCCTCGACCGAGCACCAATCAGAGCCAACGCTTTGTCCTCGACAGGCTCTCATCGCGAGCCTCTGGGCACAGCGTCAATGCCGGCCGCTTGGACGATCATGACCTTGAGGCGAACCGCGTAGGCGATCGCTTGCCCGAGGCCAGTGATAGCCGAGCTGTCGTTAGCACGGCAGTGTCATCACAAGAGATCGACGCCGCAAAGTTGCAGAAGGAATAATGACACATCACAAGCATAAGATACATTTGGAGGTTTCGGTAACGAGCGACTTTTGGTATAAATATAGAAATAGACCGAGACTCATACGTGAATAACCAGTCTTGGGCCTGGTGCTTAAGACTGGCATTAAATGTAACATCACGTGAGAAAGGAGACCTTATGCTCCCGTCCTCAATTGTTGTCTTAGCTCGTCATCCATCTTTCTACATCTACATGATAACCACACTTTATGTGACCTCCGCGATATATTCGCATCAGAGACATAGACATAGACATGAACAGATTGGGCGAGATTGGAGGACTATATGCAAGACACAGGCTTAGGAGGTCTTACAACTTTAATGACAGGTTTTAGGGCAACTGATACATGGTGTTAGATATTTGGGTGAAACATTTATTTATTGTTGTTCTGTCCGTCTGTCCCTGTTTTGAGAGTTCAAGGCAAGCCTTTTATGCCTTTTCTGTGCTATGTGGAATCGACTAGAAGCTGCTTGCTAAGCCAGTGGCAATAGGTGGCAACTCTCATCTTTGATGACGATATTTCTAAGAACTTCTTTTTACCACTATTCAACACATGGACACCCAAGTGCCCAAACAGACTGGCGCACCCGGGTCGCTCACACTCGGCCGACGCTTTGCCCACACTCAGTGCAGGAAAATGGCTTCTCCTTGGTGTGCGCGCGCAGATGACGCTGGTAATGCTCCCGACGCTAGAAAGGGATGTTGCAAGTCTCGCAAAAGAGATCTGCCTGGGAGGCACGGGGAATCATGGTCGTGAGATTGCTGCAAGGGTCTTGGCGAATAGCGAGGAGCATGAAGTTGTCCTGGCGAGTAGTACATGAGAGGACAAGGCAGGGATGCCAGAGGTCAGTCAATGAATGATGCGTGACCCCGAGAACACCAATGATGAATCTATCTCGGAAATCTTCTGAGATGCCTCTCTCAGGGTTCTCGAGACCTGCAACTTTGTCCACTGTAGGCCACGTAGGGACGATCTGCGGGAATTGGACACTGAGGTGCGGCGTCTCGGCCTTTCTTCAACCCGCATTTCAAAGCAAGAGATCGTGGGGATGGCAGCGGAGACCCCGGAGTTTGGAGGGGGCTTATCCTATTTCCCCAAACAAAGGCGTTAGCAGGGTCTAGATCGATAGAGAGTTTACGATATTAAGGGGCTTGAACACGAGGGTTAAAGCCTGCGAGACCATTCCAAGTGTTGCTTCATACTGGGAATGATTCTAACTAGCAAGATTAGACCATTCTAAACCATTCTCAAGGACTCTCGAGAAGCTAATCTACCTCATTGAGTCCATCAAACCCGTCATTCTAGACATGGAAGAGAAACGGCACATGCCATGCCATGGTAGCACTGGCCCCATTCATCTACCGGGCTAACCACATGCAGTAAGGTCACACTCGGGAGTTAGAAGTGTTGACTTGTAATATTATTGTGGTCACAGGCAAAAGTCTTGCTAGCTCCGACCCCAGGGAGGGGGTCTTATCAGGTCACTTATCGGATGCGTAAGGAAGCGACTCAGGGTCATCGGTGGGAGGCCCTGAGTTCACAAGCCATCCCTAGGCCAGTAATCGTGTGGAGGATGATGATGATATAAGCTTGCTTCCGCACGACAATACAGTACATTTTGCTCCCCGAGACTCTACCATATCATATCTGATACCTACCCCTGCCCTGTGGAGCCGAACTATCAAAACATTTGCCAGTGACCACAGTATACTGTAGATATTAGTATTCTTACTCAGCGGAAGCAGAACTAAGACCCTTGCGGAAAGGACAAACCGCTTCCGAGACACGCCTCGCGATTCAGAGAACTCCGCATGTCCCGACAGAAGCGGAGAGTCGGAGTTCGGAACTGATTTCCGGCATAACAATTCAAGATGAGATCCTACCAAGCAGTTAAATGAGGTCTTAGAGTGAAGTGTTTGTCTCTAGAAGAGCACCAATTAACCCTATGAAATTGCGTCAATCATGTCACAGAACGACATCCAAAGTGTAGGAAACACCAGTGGTGCAAAGCCTATTCCCGGTGACGAGCTCTCCTTGATCACAGAGGCCCTGCAGTCAGTGGATGTGTTAGACCTCACCGTCCTCTCTACCCTTCTACTAGGTGCAATTGTATACCTTTTCACCGGCAAGCTATGGAACTTGTCAACCAGAACTAAAGATTCCGATTCATCAAATTCTCTCAAGTCGGCTGGTCAAGACAAGCTTCGAAGGATCGTCAAAACCATTCAAAGCACGGGCAATACCTGCATAGTCTTCTACGGCTCTCAGACAGGCACAGGCTAGGAGCTACCGCCGTAGAGATCAGCATGAAATGGTTCACTTATGTAGTTCCGAACTGCCCCCGCAGACTGACAGACCTCTATGGCAACGAGGTGGATAGCGACACTGCTGTCAAAGACGAAATTGAGGCCCAGACGGGGCTGAAGCCCGTCAACATACGCCCCTCGTGACACAATTCGGATGACCTCCCGACTAAGGCTCTGCTTGTATCCTTCCTGGAGCCGACCCAGAAATACTAGTGCCTTTTCGGCTCCAGCCAACCAGCCAGACTGATCGTCAAGACTGTTGAGAGGTCAAAGATGTGTGTATTGATGATGCGTAACTAGCTAGCTAAGGCAAGGGGATTACGGGCTGTACGGGCCCCGGCTGCCTGAGGCCACAGCCGCCGCAGGCGGCCGTGGGCTTCCTTCAACAACTTCCTCCACAGCAAGGCACGCAACAGGCTCACACCAGCCAACGCTGACAAGTTAGCGTTCATCTACATGAACGAACGGGTGCTAGAGAGGCTAACGCAGTCTCAGAATCAACCTCTTGATCATCACAATGAGGTTGATTCTACGGTGGTCAGCTGGGAAGATTTGGCAGAAGACGGTTGGCTTACTCTCGAAGATATGTATATGGAAATCCATTGCGCATCAAGTCTGGAAGTTGAGGCTGTTATCGGCGAGTTCACTCACCAACCCGCCTCCGACGGAGAAGAGACAGTTGTGGACACATTTGAGGTCCAAGATGGGTCAGAGAGCGAAGGAACGAGGGAAAAATTGACCTAATTTGGCTTGGTTATTTGTATTATATGACATTGGGCCTGCTTCATTGTAATAAAATGCAGCTTAATACACAGGTGTATTATGCACATGCCCATCCCTACGAATCGAGTGCAGATGTTATACGGCCAATTTAAGAATTGAGACTTGGAAACGAGCTTGTATAGCCTCATGCAAAGATAATGACTGTTTACTTTCCTCTACTTTTGCTGACTTCCACCTATGTCAAGGCCTAGGATGATCTTAAATACCGGAATTACAACATTCCGGCCCTAGGATCAGATTTCAAGGTTGCTGCCGGGGACCCCTCGGAACCTTCGGTCCCAGGCCGGCTTCTGACTGCGGCAGGGTCTATAAGACCGACCCGTGAGACCCTCATTGCATAGAAATCAAGAGCCTCTTTCCACTTCTGATCCCCATTGCCTGTTGTGACAACCTACTTTTGAAAGACGGCCCAGTGAATGAATCAAGCGGATTCAACTATAACAAAGTAATGGATTAGGTACAGGTGTAAGCGTGACACTTGGCAATGAAGCGTAGAGCCTCGGTACTGCTATCGTACTCAGCGCTCCTAATAGTGCAGACCGTTTGGACTATTAGTCCAGACTGCAATCCAAGATCAATAATTAATCCACGACGGGCGTTCGTGGATTGACGACTAGGATGATGCGTCCCTTGAAACGAGCCTTGTTGATCTGGATCGCACCAGTAAATTGATCAGAAATATCCAAAACAACATGGTTGGCACAGCAACAATCATGCGTACCCTGGTTTTGTAACACCATGCCAACAACCTAGGGTACTTAGCGTCCACGCCGGGCGTCCGTATTCCCTGCCCTGATCTGCAGTCTGGACTAATAGTCTAAGGGAATTGATAGACACGCATGACACTTTTGATACACACGCATGACTCTTACACACGCATGACTTTTGCGCACTCCCATTGGGTCAAAACTTTATGGGTCCACAAGTACATCTCCTCAAAGGCGGTGTAGACAGCTCTGCTAACACGACCACTTTCGTCGCTCTGGGCGTAAACATCCACGCAGTATCATAAAAATAGCAAAATAAAAAATAAAAAAAATCGGTGACCCTATCGGGATTCGACCCCGGATCTACCCGTTAGTTAGACGGGAGCCCTACCCTCAAGCTACGGGCCTCGCTGTGTTTGCGATATGTTTGAAACAGATTGTTCAAGTAGGGCAAACTGAAGACAATAGTTTGCCACCTCTACTTTCTCACTACTATAGAAGGGAGAATATCCTCGTCACTATCATACAGCTCCCATTGACTCCTTCGCCTCCGAATACTAGGTTGCGTCCTCCGTCCACTAGCACGAACCCCCGTTGTCCTCCCGGCTCCAAGGACAGCTGACTGGCTGCGTGTCTGGCGCTGGGTCGAAGTAATGACCTGGCTGCTGGTTGGCTGGCTCGAGGCAAGCTCCAGCCTAGCCAAAGTCGACTTGTTTCGACTGCCTGCTGGTCGTCCTCGCTTACGTCCTGTGGGCTGGTTGGCTGGGTAACCGGCGAGTTGACTCGTGGACTGGCTCCCCGCTGCAATAGCAAGCCTTGCTGGAACAGCCTGCGCTGTGTTCTTGGGCCTGCCACGGAGAGCTGTGGCAATCTTGGGGTCAAGAATCCGTCGATATGGGTCCTGTGAGGATGGTTCCCGTAGTCGCCAGCGAGGATGGACCTCCCATTTCGTGAATGACGTGGCAGAACCGAGCTTCGAGTAAACCTTGTGGTAGCAGGGGATCCCCAGCTCGATTGAGACCGAGCAGTCGTCACTGCAGTTCCCAAGAGGCTCCGGGAACGGATTCTTCCCAGTCGGCATCGCCTTACGAGCTAGACGGTATTGCTTGTTGATTAATCCTAGGCCCTTGGATGAGATTGCCGTTCGGAGTTCACCCAGATACTCCGAGCTGGAGCCCATGTACTCGCGGGCAGTGAGAACCTCATCAGCTGCGCAGGCATCCTGGAAGTCCCGTTCTTGGTCCTTTATCATGTCCTGCATAGCCTCAATAAGCCGATAAAGGTGGCTCATGCCGTTCAAAAGGTAGCTCTTGATGTTGTTGTTGCTTGCTTCTGTGCCGGAAGTGACGCGGATGCCAAAGTTACGGTACCTGCGGATGAAGCAGCGTGCCCACTGCGCCCTTACGGGCATATAAGTCCCATGGAGATACCGTAGAATAGGGCGCTGGTCGTCAAACTGTGAAGGAACGATCATGTGACTTTCATACTTTATGAATAGTTTCACTTTATGAATATTGTGTAAACAGCTTAAGTCAGAGCTTTCCTTAGGAATCTCTTTCTCTCCTTGTAAACAATCATTTTGCCCAAGTCGCACTCGACCTCGTTCGTGCTCTTGTCCCGTCACACAAACTCTTTGCAGAGATCCTTCCAAGCCTTTTCATGAGCATCTTCGGTCTCAGCAAATATAACAGCCTTCCACATAAACAAAACTCCTTGGTAGCTGTGGGGGATAGTATTGGTTGAGGGGACGTGGAGGAGTTGTTGGTCAGTGGAGTTCAGCTTAGCCTGCCCCTGCGGGGTAAAGTCGTCTTCCTCGTCAGTACTACCAGAGGAACTGCTGCTGCTGCTGGTGCGGCGTTTGAGCCACTTCTGCTTCGCCTTGAGTAGGACGTTGGAGTTGATGTGGTGAATGCATAGCTGCTGTTGGACGTCGGGAAATTGGTCGTTCAAGGCGGCCTTCATTGCATTGTCGAAGTCGGTAATAATAATGTCGGGTTGCCGGATTGAGTGCTTGTCAATTAACTGCTTCATACTTTCCGTAAGAAACTGGAAACCCTCTCGTCTCTCGTTATCAATCAGGCCAAAGGCGGCGTTGAAGATAGAGCCGAGGCAGGTTTGTCCTGTAGCCTGGAATAGTGGGAGCTTGAAACGGTTGGTATTGTAAGTGTTGTCAAAGCTGATGGACTCCGGGAACCGCTTCCACATTTGGAGGCAGTAAGGGAAAGTCCAAACAATGCCAACCAGCCGGCTGGGCTGGTCGTCTGCCCACTTCGCAAGATAGGGAATATTCTTCTCGTCAAAGAGCTTGATCAGCGCCGCAGTAGGCGAATGACCGTTCAATTTGTCTCGGTTGACAAGAGCCCGGGCATTGTAAATATCCCTCTGCGTGAAGTTTGACCCAGGATGCTGCTCTTCGACTACAGCCCGTACATCTCTAGCCCGTATACCAACCCGGCGACTTGTTGACTCGATGGTTGCTCTTACAGGCGTAGTGAGTCTTCGGTGGGACGGGTTAGCGGATGCTTTGATGCTCGGTCCATGGTTGTGCTGGTGGTGTTCCGGATTTGGATGGTGTCGTAAAAACCACTTGCCCTCTTCGATAGCCTCGGCAATCACCATCCACTTGCAACCACATTTCCGGGACTTCCTCTGGCGGATGCCTGCACCTTGGCTTGGCTGTGGATGGCCATATCGATCGCATCGAAGAGAATACCGGATTTTCCTTCCCTTATATGAGTACCCATTATACTTTGAAATGCCAAAACCATGAATTCTTGCGAAGGTATTTACCGACTCGACGAGCGCTTCAATTGATGGGAATGAGTCGCCCGGGATTGGTGGATTCGGGATTGGATCTGGGGTAGGCGATGAGGACTGTTGGTCGGGTGAAGATCTGGCTGCTTGAGGGGATAATGCTTGAGGAGATTCGGTAGCTGGCCTGCGTGGCGGCGAGTATGGTGGAGGAGATTCATAGGCATCTGGGCTAAGTGGTGACCAACCCCATCTGTCGCGCCATTGACGTACTCGTTCGTACGATTGGACAAGCTCGAGGGTTAATCTCCGGCCTTCCCCAACAACCTCGCGAACCAGCTTCAGGGCGGACTCAAACTCGGCCCTTGTTGCAGTTGGTGGCCTCTGGGCTGATTGTGGTGGAGAGTATGAGGGCAAAGGGTCGGTTTCAGGACCGGGTATAGGTGCTCTGATCCGCTGGGATCGTTTTCGTCCGGATGGGAAGTCGTTGGAGAGATGTATCTCCTGATCGAATCGGAGCTCCCATGGTGGCTCATTAAGCCCCTGGGAGCCATGGGGCCGTGGAAAGGTTGAGAGGGACTGTGGATAGGAGGCAAAGAGATTTTCAAGCGCGCCTTCGTCACCAAGGCCATAGTACTGGCCGATGTTTGTCTCGATGCTGCTTGCTGACTGTGGCCTAATTTTAAGGAGAGGTGGACTGAACCGAGCTTGCCGAGTCTGACGCTGTCGTTTTCGAGGACGTAATTGATCGTTGGGGCTAGGACTGCGACTTCGACTTCGTTGTAAGCTGGAGGGAGATTCGGAATGCGTCATGATGGAAGTATTAGCTGTGAAGAAAATACTCCGAGGTAGCTATAAGGAGCTTAGTTGCGTCGCGTTAATTGCCAAGTCGAAAAATTGGAAGCAAAGCTGTGGAGTACATCGGAGCTCTGGCAGAATTCTGCCAGTACTAACAAAAAACCGATTGACCAATGGGAGTGCGCAAAAGTCATGCGTGTGTAAGAGTCATGCGTGTGTATCAAAAGTGTCATGTGTGTCTATCAATTCCCTAGTCTAAACGGTCTGCACTATTAGGAGCCCTGATCGTACTCAACCAGGTTTCCTCTGGTCAAAGGGGCCAGGAACACCGTATCATCAGCTGTAGACAAAGGTATAGGCTCCATACTTGCCCACGTAGAGCATCCAGGGAATAGAGCCTTCTTGGCCTCGACGCAGGTGTAACTTCGTCAACAGTCGAGATATGCTAGCCACTGTAGCCACTCCACGAGACCATGTCGCCATCCGAGTCCCATGTATCTACGTGGGGCTTTTGGCAATCAGACCACGGACTCAGTGGCAACATGCTGCGTCCGGGCAAGAATCACGAGTGCAATTTCAAGAGTTGGGAAATCTAAAGGGAAAAGAAATGCACAGGGGGCAAAATCATTATTAACTTGCTTGTGCTAAAAATCTGGGCTACACAAACTCTGGGAAAATGTCCCCTACCCATCAATACACGATAATTGTAATATCATCCTTCGGTCCCTGAACGTCTGTGAATTTGTGAGCTACGCATGGCAACGCTAGAAGGAGTCAGGCTCGACTTACTCTTCCTACCCCACGCAAAGTAGTATATGGCGCATAAGAACAGGAAGGCAACAAGCACGACCGATGCATAATTCATCGAAACAGATGTTACAGGTAAAGCAGCAGGCATACTGAAAAGAACAAGCTGGAATAGAATCCAACAAACAGCGACAGAGTTCGCCATTGTGCCAAGCCTTCGACCTAAGGTCCATCGAGCTTTGGAAACCTCCGTTCGACCGAGGACTAAGCTGATGCTGATCGGAATCAGATACGCAAGCGCCAGAGCGATCACGCCCACAGAGACAAAAGCTGTAAAAGCGCTGGTACTCCCGAGGTTGATGCAGCCCAAGAGCATCTGCAAGACTGTGACGAGTGCTAGAGCATAGACGGGCTGATCGAAGATTGTTCGAGACCAAATTCTCGAGAAGGGCAGCACGTCACCCCGCGACAGCGCCCATGTGCATCTTGAGGCAGTAGTTGTAATGCTTATGGAGCAAAATAAAGTTACCAGGAGAACCATGATCAGCAGAACGAGAGTCAAAGGCTTAGAACCAGTGACAGTCGCTAGGATATACGGCAAGGCCTGACCGTACGGCGCCGTAAGAATGTCCTCCAGTGCCGGAAGCGTAAAGCAGATTGGAAGAATAAAAACGAGCATGACGACACCTCCGATTGGTACACAAAGGCTGATGCCACGGGGCACCTCGATTTCTGGACTCGAACACTCCTCGGCCATAGACATGACCATGCCTATAGCTGAAAGTGTATAAGCAGGTGGTAGAAGGCCGATGAAAAAGGAGAACCCATGGCCCCAGCCGGAAAGACTGCCGTCGTAATGAGTAAGACCGTAAGATGCTGAGTGTCTACCAGCTTTTGCAGTGATGCTCAAGGCAAGGAGGACAGCAACAACCGTGATGACGCTCCAAAGAGCCGCCGCAGTATCGACCAAAGGCAGGCCTCGATCGGCGACGGCGCAGATGAGGAAGATCATGACGCATATCCCGAAAAAGACGAAGAGTGTTTCGTTCGCGGAAGCAGTCCACTCTGGATTGTATGTTGAAGCCGTGGCGACAATAAGAGACGCGAAGCC